TTTACAACACACACAGGGACCATGGGGAACAAACATAGCCACCCTCCAGAAGGAAGGACAGTGTCAACATGAATTCAGAGATGATTTGAGGATCTACAGAGGAGTGATCACAAATAATCTACATTTTTATTAATAGTTAAGGTACTTGAATTATTTTTTAAGATTTAACTGTTGAGTTTAGTGTCACTTTAAGGTTTGACAGACTGTTAACCGTATACGCTCTCGCTCATTTACAATATATAATGTTTCTTTGACCTGAAAAGGGCTCATCTCATGAATTTTATGCCTCAGGAAAGCACTAACATTTATCATCATACTTAATCTGTTCCTCCAACCACCTAAGCTAAACCTAAATAACGCTTACCCTGCACGCTGAAATTTAAGCCCTAACCTATTCATGACATTTCTTATTACAACCTCAGCTTATAATTGACCTTCAATTTTAGGCCTTAAAATTAAACACCTAACCTAACCTTAAAAACTAACCCTTAAATGTAGTCTCCCACTTATCTTTTAACCTACATAACACCAAAGCTAAAATTTCTAAACTGCTAGACCCATACCTTACCAGGCTGCTATTTACCTTTTGTAACAGTGGATATGAATAGAATAGTATTGATCCATCTATTGTGGCACTAAAATCTAAAAGTCCAAGTCTCTCACTAGGAGACTTCATCACCTCACTGGCACTTTGGCAGTTCTTTCTGCCCAGTAAAAAGTCAGCTAACCCCAAACATAGCTCTGAATCCCATTAAAGTCCATGGGAACTGAATATTGGGGGTTTTTTCAAGGTTTTTGTAAGGCCAATGTGCATGTTATTGTTAAAAAAGGCATGGGTAGCTGGGCACCACCATTGGAGACATGTACAAATGCCCCCAAAAAAATAATGGAAATATTCATAAGTGTAATTCCTGTTTTCCTTCTTGTTACCTTCTATGATTATTGCTGCCTTGTATTGTTTGGACATATATGTATAACAACATAAATAATGAATGTTTATCTGTGCCTGGGGATCCTTCCAGCGGCAGCATTGCCTCCGCTTAAGGACAGATTCCTGGTCAGCTTCTGTTTCTACACAAATGAAAGGGGGTCCTGTGTGACATCACTGTGACAAATATGTTAATTTGTAACAGCAGTAGTGGCGTGGAACAATATTGGGTGCGGCAGGTCATCATGTCAGTGGGTCATTGTGACTGATGTGGATCTACCTCGCTGGAAGACGTGACTGTTGTTGCATGTACATCGAGGGACATTGTTTATGATTTGCTTTTCTAATAAAATTACTTTTTTGACAGTGTGGATGTTTTTATTTACTTTTTCACTTTTTTTAATAAATGAGTAACAAAGGGTATGTACCCCATTCTAATTCATCTGGGGGGCAGATATCTGGGAGCCCCATTATTTTAAAGGGGGCTTCTAGATTCTGATAGGTTCTTCCCCACAGATCCCAACATCCATCCCCTACAGAAAGGATGTGAGGATGAGCCCCCTGTCCCCTCAACATTGGAAAGCCATGCAAGGGAAAAGGCTTTGGAAGGTGCCCTTTTAATGTTGAAGGCATATGGTCTGGTATGGTTCCGGACGAGGTTTGTGTATGCTTGCTGCCCCCCTCCCCCTCTTCCTGGCAACCCAGGCTACGTGTCTGTATAAGGATTTTATGAGAATGGGCTGGGTTTGGCTTGAGCCAAACCCAAAGCTCATTCATTTTCCTGAGCCAATTTATTACAAGTATACATTCACGATTCACATGTATGCTTTGTGCTATGTTTACGCATTTATGACAAAGTTTCTGTTAAACTTTACTATCCATTGGAATATTCCTTCCTATGATGGCGTATACCATATTTAATAAGGCTAGGAAAATATTTATTATAAAACACATTTTCTGCACACAGTGAGGTTTTAGTATCTTTTAGGTTTTTTACTTCTTTTGTCATTACCTTGTCTTGAATAGTCTTAAGTAAATCATCCTTAGCATGTCATCAGGTTACCATAAAACATACCCATAATGATTTTATTTGTGGGTAATGTCACTGTTAGCAGTACTGGGAGTAATCTATCGCTTCACCTGTACAAGAACAATCTGAGCACATAGCCACGTCAACAATCTAACAGGACTTCAGCGTGGGAACACTTGCCTCATATTGTATACAAAGCCCTTTTCACAGGACTCTACTTGTGCCCTGATTTCATCGGAGGAGTATTCTGTTTACTTTGTAATGTGCTGGTGCATTTTGTTTCTTTTTTTAACAATGATTTCAGTATGTACAATATACATAATCTTTAAAGTATGTGAATTATATCAGTATACCTGTATAGGGTCATCTGTAGAAGTTGAATACTTTTCTTATGCCTATATTACTTTACAAATAATTCAACCAAGATGCCAAAATAGACAAAGGTCTTCCTATTTGATAGAATGTAAGTTAATGTAATGCCTGCCACATTCATTAATCCTTTTTATTATTCATAATCTTTCAATCTGATTTAATTGTTTAATTATATTTTGGATTCCTTTCTTTGTTGTTTTGCCATAAACCTGTCAATACAATGTATTTTATGATTTGTTCTAAAATTGATCAAATTGATTGCTGCTGATTGTCATTTGAATGACTTTAGAATGAACATGGCAAATAAAAGAGCTGCATTACAAAAAAATAACTAATAAACCACACATAAAATGGATGGACATTTCCTGATCAGCCCAAGTGTTTTTATCTATAGTTGGCTTTAAAAACATAGATTTAAATCAAGTGAAAGCATGTCCAAACACCTAAAATTTTCCTAGATTCAATCTACACATCAATCGATCAGACAGATTGAATGTTTAAATTGAATGCACGTGGGCATCATAAGTAAACAAGAGGGGCAATATATAAACCTGACCCCCCTCCAATCCGTTTATCTATTTTCCACTTGCTTTGCCAACATGTATTTAGCTCCTACCAATAAAGCTGTTTTAATGTTAAGGGAGTGACATAGAAGACAGAAGGGTAGCCATTGGGACAGACCTCATAGGGCACATATCTGTCTGCAATTTTTGTTGCTGTGTTCAGATTACCATTGAACACGGGAAAGTTCCTAGAGATTTCCCATCATAAGGGAAAATATCTGAAATCAAGCATACTCTCAGGACTTATTGTTCGTATTGATTTGGTACTTTAAGAATTCACATAATATGTAAATATATAGTGCAAGGCTAGTAAGAAAGAGCCATATTACCAAAAGTTATAGCCAACACACTAATGATGCATAAGAAGTAGTAAAGACTAAGGCATCATTATCATAATAATAAACTGTCATCTGTAATCAATGAGGGTTTGTTTGTCTTTTTCTGGATCAACATTTTTAGGGTTTAGGTTAAGTTGAATATAAAGTGAATTTTCTACTTGTCGCAGAGCAGACTAAGAATGCATAAAATACTTTCATTTTTTTCAGGCTGGCCATGTTTAGTAATCAGAAGTGAAAAATCAGCTAATTTGGAGTATCAAATTGAAATCTGGGACCCATTTGCAGAGAACTGCCTGCCAGCTGCATGGAGACACTCAGCCTGTGCCTAAAACCTATTGAGTGTTATTTTATTTGCCAATCCCAGAGTGAAGTTATTACATTGTAAGTTCAAACTAGCCTGCAAGAGAGCTGTCATAAATATATTACCTTAGGCTAAATTTACAGTGCTTTGCACAAGACTATCAACCTTAATTTTTAGCCATGTTACCATAATTTTTTTGAAGTCTCACTGTACTCAGATGAAAATAATGGTCTCTTTTTTTTTTTTTTACAAAATAATGATTCTTATCCTAGGGTTTCAGCTTTGATAATTGAGCATTTTGCCTAAATAGTGAATGAATGTCAGAAATGTTATTAAGTATGGTCACAGGCAGTAAATGGAAGCTGGATGTGTCTCCTTCAATAAATTTATTGTTTATGTTACTGCATATGCAAATGCCCATTTATACCTACTGTAAAGTACTAAAGAATATAATAGAACTGTACAAATACAAAATAATAATATATTTTTCTTAATTATCGTTATTATTACTACCTAAAACTGAGCTTCAGGGTTCAATAGCAAACAGGTGGAAAAATCCAACCCAAACTACAGAACAATCAGACAATGTCTGCTACAATCTGATCCCACTGAACCTGGCAGGATTGGTTGACAATCATCTGATATGTGTGAGTAACTTTAATGACTTTGCTGTATAACCATATATTATATATAACCATATTTATATAACCATATTTGTTTTACATAACATGAACGATTAGTACATTAATAATAATTTAAAAAAAAAACCTATACCAGGAAAAATAGCATCATAAATAAGCATTTTAATTTGATCTAATTACAAGGAAATTAAAAAGGTTCTAGTAAAATAAAAAGCTAATTGGGTGACAACCATCTGCTATGTATCAGTAACAGCAATTACTTAGTTGTATAACCATTGAAATATAATTTTTCTATGAATGAATGCCTTATCTGAGTGAAAATGTACAACATTAGCAAGTATATTAAGAATATTTTACATACATCTAAAGTGAAATGTACATCACTAACATTGTTTTGCATACAATGAACAGTTAGTCTAGTTATTATAATACACAGTAACATAAAATACTAAAAAAAACAAATGATATACTTTTAAAACAAAAGGACTGAAAAGTGATAATTTACCAGCAAAAATGACAGCAGCAATAAACATTTAACGTATCTTATGCAGACAAAATTATTTTAATTAACAAAATAAAGCTGTATTTAAAATATACATAATAATAATAATAATAATTATTATTATTATTATTAAAAACAATGATAAAAATGATGATGATGATAATAATAATAATAGTAATAACATTGACACTATGGGTTGTTGAGAAGGAAATGTGAATGGCATGAGTAGTGGCAGTGCCATTGCAGCTGCGCAAAACATCAGTTGGCCCATTGTGAGCCCTGCATGTGCTCTGTGGCATTTGAGTCAAGCAATCTATACACATACCTTGCAGCTTTCGCAGGTGAGGAGCCCATAGTGGTAGCCAGACACCTTGTCCCCGCAGACTGGGCACAATTCATCCAGATCTTCATCGTAGCTATAATCCATCACCTTGCTGTGAATCCCTGCGAGTGAAAGAGAGGACAGAAAGCCAAGGGCTCGCTCACAGCTGGCATCAATCACATCGGTGGCTGCACAGTGCGGCCAGCCTCTGTGTCATCCAATCATTGCTGGAATGTGATGCTCAGGGACTAAATAGGGAAAATCCTCATCCTCAGAATCTGAGCATCATCCTCCGAACACTCATTGGTGGTCATTTTAAAATAACGATTAATCCACTTATTGAATATATACGTGTGACAGTTCTTGTAGCTTCTATAATAATCCATGCCTATGTGTGTTTCTAACACTCCTTATATGTGTAAATGTGTGACTTATCTTTTTACTTAATAGATACATAATTGTGTGACAGTAATTACGTGTGACAGCTCCTGCCATTGCACAGCCGATCTCTGCTTGTCTACAGTTTCTAATCGCAATGATCAGATACACTTTATCTGTCAATGGAAATGTACAACACTAACAGGTCGGTTAAAGCCGCCCACACACCTTACAATTTATCTGAAGATTTTCTGTGGTCAGATGGAAAAAGTGCAACAGATTGGCCCAGGTGGAGATTACTCCATCCACACAGTTAAGTGTAGATGGAGGAATCTGTTGCACCTTTTCCATCTGACCACAGAAAATCTGCAGATAAATTGTAAGGTGTGTGGGCGGCTTTAGGATGACAAACATACAATCAGCATTATGGTCATTCTGATTTGTATGCCCTAAGAACGTAACGATGGACACAGAAGTATGTGTATGAAAGAAAACATTTCATATGTCTGGAGAGTTGGAGAAAAGATGGATTTACATGGCACCGAATAGAGCAGACCTTTTCAATAAATAAAATGTAGAGTGTAGTGAATGATTCTGGCTTACTAAGGAGACTGAAATTCTTCACTGCAAACAAATTGTGTAAATATTCACTTAATTTATCCAATCGGGTGGAAAACAAATTCCTGATGCTTTTCACATGCGATCGGCTCAATCAAGTGAATATTCGCATAATTGTTAGTAAATCAGCTTTTGTGTCTCTGTTTATATATTCTCCCTATTGCCAACACACACGAACACATAAATGTATGTATGTGTGTATATGTATATGTATGTATGTATATATATGTGTGTGTGTGTGTGTGTGTGTGTGTATATATATA